TCGACATAAAGCAGTAAATATCTGCCTCACTTTACATTTCAAGATGGGAGAATATAGACCTAGGACTGAACTATAAATAATTTAAATAAATATGAGTTGAACACGTGTAACCTATTTATATTAAATTAACATATTACGTTAATTATCCTAATATATAAAAAGCCACGGGCCCTCACGACCAAAACAACAGGACGGACAACTGCGGGCTGCGTGGGGCGACCAGGCTGGCAGGGGGGTTAGTGAGGGACGATCAAATGACTGAACAGCAGGCTGCGTGGGGCAACCAGGCCGGCAGGGTGAGGCAGTAAGGGGTGACCAGGCCGGTGGTGGGGGGCAGTTAGGGGCAACCAGGCCGGTAGATGGGGGTAGTTGGGGGCAACCAGGCCGGCAGGGGGGGGCAGTAAGGGGCGACCAGGCCGGTGAGGGGTAAGTTGGGGGGCGACCAGGCCAGCGGGGGGGGGGGGCAGTTGGGGGGGACCCGGCCAGCAGGGGGGGCAGTTAGGGGCGCTCAGGCAGGCAGGCAGGTGAGCAGTTAGACGCCAGCAGTCCTGGATTGTGAGAGGGATGTCTGACTGCTGGTTTAGGCACGATCCCAGGCAGTCAGACATCCCCTGAGGGGTCCCAGATTGGAGAGGGTGCAGACTGGCTGAGGGGACCCACCCCCCTCCCGTGCACGAGTTTCATGCACCGGGCCTCTAGTATATTTATAAAATATAGATATCAATCCTGTGAAGAACCGACTATGAAAAACCAACTAGTATTCACTAGTAATTTAGTGTTCTTGTTAGGCCTCATGAACCTCTTTTCTATACTTTTCATGATTTCTATGTTGGTCACAGCATTGAACCTTGAATAGACATTGTGACTATACTAAAAACTATCAAATTGTATGCTTTAATGAGTGAATTATATGATATTATATGATGTTAAAATGTAGGCATTGGATTTCTTTTAAAAATAAAGTGAAAAGGTGACCAACTGTAGTTCAAAGAAAGCCACACATACCTTCTTGCTTATAGAATTCCAGCTAAAACTATTAAAACTTTTAAAAATTATTATGCTGCCCTGGCTTGGTAGATCATTTGGTTAGAGCATCTATCCGATACTTCAAGGCTGCGGGTTCAATACCCGGTCAATGCACATGCAAGAATCAACTAATGAATGCATAAATAAGTGGAACAACAAATCGATGTGTGTGTGTTTTTCTCTCTTTCTCAAAAAAAATTTATTGTTCCAACTTAAATTTGGAGACATTTACATTTTAGAGAATATTTAAGGGGTGGGCTTATGAATTAAAAAGTAAGTAAATATTTTAACCTTAGACCTAATGTTACTTTAAACATTATTATATTGGCTAAACAAACAAATTCTAATTGAATAACAATAGAAATCATGCTCCGTAGATATAAACAGCCTAAATGTGGGTTTTTTTTCTGTGAGTTATTCTAAACTCTTACCTTTAATTCAAGGTTATCAGTACAAACTTATGTCTATTTGAGAAATTGGTTTGTTTTATATTAGATACATTCGAATATAGCATGATTTTAGAATGCACTGTTTGTGGTCTTTTGCATTTCATTATGTTTTGTTAAATGGTTTTGTAGTTTCCACAGCTGTGCTGCCTCAGATGAACTTCCTTCCTGCATTTAAAGATCTGTGGAAGTATAGAGTCCGCCTGCCCTCAGTGTGCTCTTTCAGGTGGCTGGAGACGAGCGCCCCCCCCCCCCCTAGTGTGAGGGGTGCATAGAGACACATTTGCGGACATATAAGAATAGAAGGGCATGACATTCTACTAGGATTGAGAAATCAGGGGCATGTGCCAGTATTGCATGAGGCTCGGGACTTACTCTGAACCCAGGGCTGAGGAGTGGATGTGCCCAGACTGGCAGCCCTCCCAGTTCACAGGGAGCCCGCCCTGGGCATGAGGACAGAAGCTACTCTTGAGTGGTGGAATGGAGTGTCTGGTCATTGGAGGAGGAGAGAGGGTGACGTCTTCAGAACTAAGCTTGTGAAATCAGAAAATGGAAGCTCCTGTGCAATGCAGTAGAGTTCTCATCTTGCTTCAGTTGCCAAAAAATTTGCAGCCAAGGTTGTTGCCAGATGCTGTGCTCTGTATCATTGAGGTATCTGGAGGCACAGCCACCTTCCTGCTGATACACTTTTTCCTCCTGTGCCTTAAACACAGAGTCACCTGCTGTTCTTTTGGAAGTGGGTGGGGCACAGTTCTTACACAAATAATGTTCATGGAAATACCTTTCCACTTAACATGTTTTATTTACAGGTTTTCTCTTGGTCTTTCCCTCTGCCTCTGATTTTTCTTCCTCATTTATTTTTCTTAAATAAATCAAACCACCCTTTGATTCGTCTATTCCTCGGCCAACATTTTCTAGGCGCTTGCTATGTTCCAGGTATTGTGATAGGTGCTAGAGACACAACATGAGTAAGACAAGGTGTTAAACTCATAATTTACCAGCTAGCAATAACACAAACCTTAGGCCTTTCAGTTGATGTAATGGTGTGTTCATTTTAAAAATTATGACATTTAGAGCATTTTATACACTTACAAAGGTAATAGCCCAACTCTTTAAATCAGCCTATTATAAAAACAGATTTTGTTGCTGAGGATTAAATCTTTTCTTGGGCTTGTAGATCTAGCTATGCATAAGAGTCCAGTTTCATGCTCTGCTATCTTTGCCTACTTTGTGAAAGGCACTTTATGACTGCTCTATGTGGATGACTCTGAGCCCTGAGTTCCCTGTTTCATGCTTTTTAAAAAAAAATTTTTTTTTGATTGATATCAGAGAGGAAGGGAGAGAGAGAGGGAGATATTAGTAGAAACATCAATGATGAGAGAGAATCATTGATTGGCTGCCTCCTGCACGCCCCTACTGGGGATCCAGCCCGCAACGCAGGCATGTGCTCCAACCAGGAATCAAACTGTGACCTCCAGGTTCATAGGTCGATGCTCAACCACTGAGCCACATTTTGGAAGTTACAGAGTATTGGGGTCTTCACACAGCAAACATTTCACACATTAATCATTTCACACAATAATTATTTCCACACATTAGAGGGGTTTCCTTATGACCATAACATTATTATAACAACCAACAATTACAAGCATTATTGGATGAAGATGCATGTCAAACTCAAAAACAACTTGTAGAAAGATTAAACGTTGCTCAGCAATTTCCGATCATTTACAAGCAATGGGAAAGATTTTAAAGGAAGGAAAATGGGTGCCACATCAACTGAACGAAAGACAAATGGAAAACTGAAAAGTCATCAGTAAAATGTTGCTTCAGCAGCATGAAAGAAAGTCTTTTTTGCATCGAATTGTGACTGGGAATGAAAAGTGGATTTATTTTGAGAATCCCAAAGGCACAAAATCATGGGTTGATCCAGGTCAACCATCACCATCAACTGCAAGGCCAAATCGCTTTGGAAAGAAGACAATGCTCTGCATTTGGTGGGATCAGGAAGGTGTGCAGTATGAGCTTCTAAAACCAGGTGAAACCGTTAATACTGATCACTACTGACAACAAATAATCAATTTGAACCACGCTTTGATCGTGAAATGACCAGAATGTGCCCGAAGACACGGCAAAGTAATTTTGCTTCATGATGACGCACCATCACACACTTCAAAACCAGTTAAAGACACGTTAAAAGATCTTGCCTGGGAAGTATTAACCCACCCGCTGTATTCACCAGACCTTGCTCCTTCAGATTACCACTTGTTCCGATCGATGGCACACGCACTTTCTGAGCAGCACTTCAAAACTTATGAAGAAGTGGAAAACTGGGTCTCTGAATGGTTTGCCTCAAAACAAGAAAAGATCTATTGGGACGGTATCCACCAATTACCTGAAAGATGGGGGAAATGTGTAGCTAGTGATGGACATTACTTTGAATAAAGCACTTATGATGTTTCTCTTGGAATTAATCGTGTTTTCTTTGATTACAAATTCTGCCATTATTAACCGGTACACCTAGCAAGTGAATGCATAAGATCTGTTAACACTTTCTAAGTTACTGAGGACTGGGTTTTTTAAACCCAAAACCCAAATGTAATCCAAAACAAAAATGACAATACCACTTCTAGTTACTTTTCACATACATTAAGATTTTGAAATCTATCCAGTAACTAATAGAAAGGGTTGATTTTTACTTAATAGTTGAGTCAGATTTTGTGTTTTTAAAAATTTAATTAAGTTTTTAAAAATCCTCACTTGAGGATATGTTTATTGATTTCAGAGAGAGGAAGGGGAGAGAGAAAGAAACATCAATGTGAGAGGGAAACATCAGTCAATTGCCTCATATGCGCCCCAACTGGGGATCAAATCTGCAACCTCGGTATGTGCCCTGACGGGGAATCGAACCCAAAACCTTTTTGGTGTACAAGAGGACACTCCAACCAGCTGAGTCACCCGGCCAGGGCCCCAGATTTTAGTTTTACATTGGGGGAAATAAGGGCGTGAACTTTGCTGTGTGTACAAAGGAGTTTTCAAAGGAATTACCTGTAGATTGTAATTTCACAGTGAATGGAGCAAGAGGGGAAAGATTACAACCTGTCTTTGCTTGCTGCCTGCATTAGGTCCACTGTAACAAAATACCACAAACTCGGTGGCTCAAAAAACCACCAATTTATCAATTTTATCAAAAACCAAAAATTACAATTTGGGAGGCCAAAAGTTTGAAATCCATCACTGTGGGCTAAACCAAGAAGTCTGCAGAGCTGTGCTTACAGTTTTCAGTATATCCACAAGACTGTAATTATTACCAGAATCTAATTTTAGAACATTTGTATCTTCCCAAAGACTCCATCCATCCCTGCTACACTCACTGCCCATTCCCTTGGACAACTGCTGAGTCACTTTCTGTCTTATAGACGTTCCTGTTGTGGACATGCCATGAAATGAGTCAGGTAGTCTGTGGTCTTTGTGACTTTGCTTGTTTGATAAACAGATGACAGAGAGATGGTAGAGAGATAGACGATCAACACTGAGAGATGTTAACTGACAGGTGGATGGATGGTGGTCATCTCCCTGCTGCGATGCTGTGCTGTCATTGTGTCAGACGTGGCCATCGGTAGATGCCATGTCTGCCTCCTGGCTGTGATGTATTGTATGATTACAAATCAACATCAAGGGGTATGTACTGAAATCTTGTTCCCAAAATCCAGTAAAGGTAAATGATTATATTCAGGAAAAAGTCCTAATGTTTTAAAATGCCTGGTTACCTATTGTTCTTCATGTATACAAATAAAAGGAGAAACAAGTAGATTTTTTAAAAAATACCTTTTTATTGATTTTTAGAGAGAGAGGAAGGGAGAGGGATAGAGAGAAACATCGATGAGAGAGAAACATCAACTTCGACCGGCTGCCTCCTGCATGTCCCCCACAACCCGGGCATGTGCCCTGACCAGAATCGAATTGGTGACCTTTTGGTCAGGGGTCCTCAAACTACGGCCCGCGGGCCACATGCAAATACAAATATTGTATTTGTTCCCGTTTTGTTTTTTTTTTACTTCAAAATAAAATATGTGCAGTGTGCATAGGAATTTGTTCATAGTTTTTTTTAAAACTATACTCCGGCCCTCCAACGGTCTGAGGGACAGTGAACTGGCCCCCTGTTTAAAAAGTTTGAGGACCCCTGCTCTTGGTTCTTGGGTTGAGGCTCAACCACTGAGCCACGGCAGCTGGACACAAGTAGATTTTAACACTTGGAGTGCGGGTGAATTTCCCGCCAAAATATAAGATGGCTCTGTCTTTTGGTTTTGTTCCATCCACCAAAAGGGTGGATTACAAACAAATATTTGGTAATACGCAGTTACAATCGGCCCGAGTTTACACGTTTCCCGCACTCCACCGCAAATCTATATGAACCGAGTTAAAGACGGCTCCCGCGGAGTACGCGCAATTCACGCGAGCCGACTTAACTCATTTCCCGCACTCCAAGTGTTAAGTTGGCAAATTTCTCTGACTTAATTCTTAAAAGTCCTGAGATATTTACTGTCTGTGTGCAAGGATAAATATTAAGCTCTTATAAATATCATACAAACTGATTTTTTAAAAATATATTTTTATTGATTTCAGAGAGGAAAAGAGAGGGAGAGAGAGAGAGAATAATCAATGAGGAGAGAGAATCATTGATGGGCTGCCTCACGTTGACCCTCTACGGGGGATCGAGCTTTCAACCCAGGCATGTGCCCTTAACTGGAATCAAACCCAGGGCCCTTCAGTCCACAGGTCAGTGCTCTACCTACTGAGCCAAACCATTCAGTACTAAACTGATTTCTTTTTTTTTTTAATTAAATCTTTACTGTTCAGATTATTACATTTGTTCCTCTTTTTTCCCCCCATAACTCCCCTCCTCCCAGTTCCCACCCCACCCTCCGCCCTCACTCCCCACCCACTGTCCTCATCCATAGGTGCACGATTTTTGTCCAGTCTCTTCCCGCATCTCCCACACCCCTTCCCCGCCCCCCCCCCCAAGAATAGTCAGTCCATTCCCTTTCTATGTCCCTGATTCTATTATAATCACCAGTTCATTCTGTTCATCAGATTATTTATTCACTTGATTCTTAGATTCACTTGTTGATAGATGCGTATTTGTTGTTCATAATTTGTATCTTTACCTTTTTCTTCTTCTTCCTCTTCTTAAAGGATACCTTTCAGCATTTCATATAATACTGGTTTGGTGATGATGAACTCCTTTAGCTTTTCCTTATCTGTGAAGCTCTTTATCTGACCTTCAATTCTGAATGATAGCTTTGCTGGATAAAGTAATCTTGGTTGTAGGTTCTTGGTATTCATCACTTTGAATATTTCTTGCCACTCCCTTCTGGCCTGCAAAGTTTCTGTTGAGAAATCAGCTGACAGTCTTATGGGTATTCCCTTGTAGGTAACTGAGTTTCTTTCTCTTGCTGCTTTTAAGATTCTCTCTTTGTCTTTTGCTCTTGGCATTTTAATTATGATGTGTCTTGGTGTGGTCCTCTTTGGATTCCTTTTGTTTGGGGTTCTATGCACTTCCTGGACTTGAAAGTCTATTTCTTTCACCAGGTAGGGGAAGTTTTCTGTCACTATTTCTTCAAATAGGTTTTCAATATCTTGTTCTCTCTCTTCTTCTGGCACCCCTATAATTCGGATGTTGGTATGCTTGAAGCTGTCCCAGAGGCTCCTTACACTATCTTCGTATTTTCGGATTCTTTTTTCATTTTGCTTTTCCGGTTGGGTGTTTTTTGCTTCTTCGCATTTCAAATGTTTGACTTGATTCTTGCGCTCCTCTGGTCTGCTGTTGGGAGTCTGTATAATATTCTTTATTTCAGTCAGTGTATGCTTAATTTCTAGTTGGTCCTTTATCACAACATCGAGGGTCTCATTAGATTTCTTGTACATCTCATTAAGTTTATCGGCAGACTCTAGAAGACTCTTGAAAGACCTCAAAAGTGTGGTTTTGAACTCTATATCCAGCAGCCTGCTTTCCTCCAGTTCTGTCATTTGTGTCCTGTTTCTTTGTCTCGGCATTTTTTTATGCTTCACTGTGTCGATAGAGTGGCTTTCTGTGCTAAGTGTCCCAATTACCTGAGGTAGACACTCTTGGTGCACCCCCTTGTGGTCTTTGTGCGCAGTCTTGTTGTAGCTAAGCCTTGATTGTTGTAGGTATCACTGGGAGGGATTTGACCTCCAGGCCAACTGGCTGTGAGAATCAGCTGTGTCTGCAGTGGGAGAACTTCTGTCCTCTAGGGAGGTGCTAATCTAGCCTTTGCCTGAGGCTATCCCGCAAATGCTCCTGTGCAGGGCTTGGGCGGGGCGGGTCCCAGGGGATCAACAGGGGGGCGGAGCGAGCAGTTATGGCTGCTCTCAGTCCTGTCCCCAGAGGCTCTGCCTCTCAGAGTCCCAGCAACCGCTGCAAACCTTGGAGAGAAAGCTGCCCTCGAGTTCCGACTGATGCCAGACACTCCTGCATCTCCCGTTTGAGTCTGGGTCCCTAGAGACTCGCCCGGAACTGGAGCTCAGAGCCTGAGACTCCCTCCCGATTGAAAAAGACAACCGCGCCCTCAGTCGCCAGCCCGCTCTGCGCGCACCTCCGCACCTTAGTATTTTACTTCCGCACTGCGCCTCCTCTGAGTCTCGGTATGCTTTTCTCCTTCCTTCTAGTTGTGGAATTTCCACTCAGCCAGCCTTCCTGTGGTTCTGGATGATGTCCGTTCCATCTTTTAGTTGTATTTTTGAAGTGGTTGTGCGAGGCAGCAATCTCCGGTGTTTACCTATGCCACCATCTTGGTTTCTCTAAAACTGATTTCTTAAAAATGAAAAATTTCACTGTAAAATTTGAAACATGTGACTTCTGAATTCATGTAGGTGTTTGGTATTCCCGTTGGTTCTGTAATTCTAGAGGATTTTAACCCCGACTTCAGTCTCATATATGTAGTTTCTATTCATTATAGTAGAACAAAGCTGGATTAATTTCATACAATATACAGAATATGTGTAATTACTTCAATGCTACAATTACACATTTGTTTTGTATTCCCGCAATTTTCAACCAATGTGCTCCAGGAATTTTAAAATGCATACCTTACCAAAAGGGCACTGACCTCTTTTCCCTGAGATTGTCAAATTAAAAAATGACAACAGGCAACACAACAATAACTGTCTGGTGTGAATGCCCTGTCTTGAACCATCAATATGAAAGTCATATAATAGTGTTGCATCTTATTGGTCACATCACATAATAAGGTTGCATCTAATTGGTTAATTCTTGGTCCCAGAAATCCTTATACAAGTGTAGGCACCTGACTTTTTTTTTTTTTTTCGAGCCAAAAGGGTAGGTAATTACTATTATTATTATTTTGTAAATCAATCAAAATGATACCTATTTTTTTTGTCAGACTGGCAAAAAGTATGTTTTTCAGTGTGCCACAGAATTTTAGTCATTTGCTTATGTATATCATGAGATGAAAAAGATTGAAAATCACTATTCTAGTTCGTTCCAGTTAAAACATAAGTATGGAAATTTGAATAGTAGCATTTGATTTGGATTTAAAATGACAAATGACCAGATTGTCTTACGTGTTTCAGTAAAGGAGATGAGAAGACATGTTTCCTATTCTTGGACTCAGTTTAATTTGTGAGATCGATGGAACTCATGCCAGAACCTCACCTTTAAATCAAGACTGTCAAATAATTATATGAATTTTCTTTCTTTTAGCAGTTACAGAATGTCTAAATGACTTTAGAATTTAAAAAATATGCTTCCAGTCTTAAAAAATATCTGTAGACGTGCATCTTTAGTAAGGTAGTAAGTAAGTCTCTTCACCTTAGTATTGTGATAAAGGGATGTTGATGGTTCTGTCGGGTAAAGTTAGGATGTGTCCCTGTGTTTACGGGGGACACATTGAATGTTAGTCCTGGCTTAAGCTCCTTCCACACATACACTGAAACTTGAACCACCCTTCAAAAACAAATGGACACCCATCCATCTAACATAGAGTACATCTAACATAGCAGATACATTATCTGAAATTATAGAAGGCCTCCATAGAATTCCTTAGAAGTGTCCATTCTTTTAGAAAACTAGAAATAATTGCTTGTCAGATCATTCAGACAGCTTTGTTACTTATGGGAGATATGCTGGAATAAATACACCCTAGTTTTAAATTTTCATTTTACTCTTTCCCAATTTACAAAAATAGGTGGGGTCATCATATAACAAAGAGACAGTAGTGAATTATTTAAGTTGAACATACTTCAAACAAGCGTTTGTCAGAAGCAGTACCTAAATGCTCCCCCCTGCCACTCCTGCCACCCTGAGCCAGAAAGAGCCTCGAGTCCGTGGCCAGCGTCTGTGGCTCGGCACGGCTCTCAGCCAGCTCTCCTTTGTCAGCAGCCAGTTCTGATTTTGAACTGTTAGTTTGAGATGACAGAAGAAAGCATCAAATGTACCCTAACTGGGAGCTTTGTGGTCAGTATATAAAGGGGAGGGATCGTGGTCACTACCTGTGGTCTCAGATAAGACTGCAGGGATGTTAGTGCTTCTTCAGATTCCCTAGTGCAATTTCTTGTTTTTTTCTCACATAAAAAGCACCTAGGAGTTTCGAAAGTGTTGCTGGTAGGAAAACCCTTTACACAGACGGATTTGCAGCACTGGCACTGTATTCAATGTCTTTGTTTCCATTGTTGGTGCTGTGTCCTCACAGGTACAGAGCAATCAGAGTTCTGGTGAGGCTGTCACAAACCATTGAGAAAATGATAACTGGATTTTGAAAAAGATTAATTGCTTTATTTACTCTTTGAATTGATTGTCTACTTTTATATAGACTTGAAATAGAGACACCTAGTTATTTTGTGTAATTTCTTTTTGCCATACAAAGCAGTAATTTGACCATCTGTTAACATTTTATTCCAGGATCGACAGGTTCTGAGAGAGACATTGTCTCCCACCCTTTAAACCTTGAATACTTTCTTCTTTATAGAAGTAGCTGTTAGGAGAAAGCATCCCAGTATCTTAGGGGAAAACACGGTATTGAGATTTCTTGACCCTGTTTTTCCACGTTCCTTGTACCCTGAAGCTGTGGAAGAGACGAGAGGAGCAGACTGGGACTGGGGATTTTGAGGAAAGAGAGGGATGGCTTACATTACTCCTGTGGGAAATGGGTAAAGAAGTTTAAGTATAAAAAGGTCAGAGGGCACAAATTTATGTTGGTACCAATTTACATTTGAGTCCTTTTCTCCTGATACTCTATAACAGCGAACCTGTGGGAATGCTCAGAGCTCTCCACTGTGTGCCACAAAGAGGTAGCATGCACAGTGCCAATGGCTTAGAGTTAAAATTTTAAAAAATCCTTTTATTTGAGGGTTTTGGCCAATGTCATTATTTAATACACATAATTACACAATATGAAGAAATTGTAATGAGTTTCTCCAGGTCCCCTCCAGCTTATCTCAGCAGGCCACACACCTAATGCTCCCTGTGTCTGTGTGCACGGAAAGCACCGGTGTGGAGAGCTGTCGGTGTCTCATTGATCTGAGGCAGCCCGGGAGCCAGGACAAGAGGCATGGGGAGACAGACAGGCAGCTGAACACAGTGGCCCAGCAATGGCAGCAGGTACAGAGGTCACCTCCCGAGAGATAACATCTAGGCCTCAGTGATATTTTCAGGGGGGTGCTGTGTGAAAAAAGACAGTTCCTTTATTTAATTTTAAATGTTACCCCATATTATTTTTTAATGTTGAGAAATGGGAAACATGATTTCATCAGAAAATATTACTTAGGTGTAAGTTTGTCTCATCCTTTTACCTCAGCATGGTTTAACAGGGGGGCCTTAGGGCCTCTGGGTCTGGCCCACTTATTTCCCCTGTGACTGAACAGATTTATTTCCTGATCTATTAGATGAGCCGCTAATTGTTCAGAGGGTTGTTGTGAGGATGAAACAAGATATTGCATGTAGAGTTCCTGGCATACAGTTAATGTTCTGTCTTTGGATATTTAATTAATTTTTTTCTAAGCAAAACAACTTTGGTAATATCAACATATTAGAATCTCAAATATGCCTTTGTTCTTCTTAAAGATAAGATTTGAAAGATTTCTTGGGTAGTGTCAACTCTTAAATATAATCAAAACTTGAACAATCAAACTGATTACTTCTACTTTGTGGAGCCAATATAAATAAATATGAAAACTTGTTTTATAAGTGGACTTACAAGGGAGATTTAGTGGGGGGTTTTGTTTCTTTTTTTAGTTGAAAGATTAATATTTGAAACTAAGTGATAAGTGTTCATGCATTCCTATATGATTTAGAAAACATTTTCTATTTCTCCTGTATATCCCAGTCTTTGTGATGTTTTTACTGTTTTAAATTCTGTTTTGTGGAACGTAAGCTGATGTTTGTGCATATATAGTAGCGAGAAGCCGATTTTAAACATAGTTGAACAGAATTAAGATTTGGTAACAGATTTACTTTCTTCAATTTCCATATGCTCTTTCTTTGGCGCTTTAACTTATGTGAGTTGAAGGTCGACTAGGTTCCATTCCCTAACTTACATACTTGTCTCTTCTACCATGTCCTCTCCCTCCCCAAGGTAAACAGTTTTTTAAAGTTTTTGTTAAATTTTTATTTTAAAAAATTACAAGCATGCTAGTGTATTAATACACACACACACACACACACACACACACACACACACACACACACCCTCTTCCCCTCTTGTGAGATGAATGGTATAGCCAATTGTATATGGTTTTCTCCATCTTGTATTTTCACTTTAAAACAGGCCCTGGAAATTATCCCATAGCGTTATCCAAATAATCCTGAAAGTATGATGATGGAAGCCTTCCTCATTCCTTTCGCTGCTGGCAGTACTTTGTCGTGTGTGCGCATAACAGCTTGTTCAACCGGTCGGTCCACTGTTGGTGGCTGCTTGGTCATTCTGGTCTTTGCTATTACAAATGGCGCTGCACACACATCATTTCATATTTTTGCCAGTCTGTTTCTAGGATAAATTCTTAGAAATGGGATTGCTGGGTCCCAGGGTGAATGCATATGGAATTTTGCTATTACTATTTAGTTATCATAGCTCTTTCATGTGAAGGAGTGGGAATATTAAGTAAAACCAGTCTTTACATCCTTCTCTTAGTCTTGGATGAAATATTGGGTCTGATAACAGTGGTTTAATGTGAATTGCTATTATGTTTGCTGGGCTTTTTCAGCTATTTCAGGACTTGTACTATATTTAACCTCTAGAGTCTAGATAAATAGATCACTATTAAACACAAAATTTCCTACTTCTGGCTGTCACCAGAACCTCGTACAATTTAAGGCATGTCATCTGAGTTTCAGGCTTCGCTCTTTGATTGGCGTGTCCCTGTGAGAACGTGGTGGGCTCTGTAGACTGTCTGTCTCCACAGCCTTGCCACGGGCTCAGTAACAAAGTGGCCGAGAGCACGGGCACACAAGGCTGGCCTTCATCCCCATTCTGTCACTGAGCAGGTATCCTGTGAATTGCGGATACTGTTAGTTCCTATGTGTACTTTGTGAGAATGAGTGAGCTCAGATAATGGATGCGACAGAACCTGCACATGCCTGTGGTACACTCAGAAAATGTCACTACTTTTAGTATTTCACACAGTGCAGTTGGGTGTGAAGACTCGTTGCCCTCGCTGGTCTTCCAGGAAGCTGGTCTTCAGTGTCAGCCTTCCCACGTCTTCTTCTGCCCCTTTTACACGAGAGGCTTTGAAGAGCTCAGCCTTACTGACCACCTAACCGTCTCTGCCTGCCTGCCTGATCGCCCCTAACTGCTCCCCTGCTGGCCTGATTGCCCCTAACCGCCTCTGCCTCGCCCCGCACCCAGAACCCAGGATTCCCTCCCTCTGGCTGGCCGCAGGCACCCAGGACCCGGGACGGCTTCACCCGGGCTGGCTGCAGCTGCAGGGGACCGTGGGCGAGCTGGCTGCACCTGCCCAGGACCACGGGGCGGGTGGCTTGGCCCTCTTCTGGGCTGCAGGCGTAGGCGCTGGCTCCCGGGACCGCGGGGCGGGCGGCTTGTCCTTCTCCTGGGCCGCAGGCATAGGCACAGGCGCTGGCACCCGGGACCACGGGGTGGGCAGCTTGTCCCTCTCCCGGCCGCAGGTGGCTGGTCCCCATTCCTCTCTCTCCAGTGTTGAGTGTCTGAGCCGTGATGGCGTGAGGGCATGATGACCATTTGCATATTAGCTCTTTATTATATAGGATAGGATTTTCAGAGAAGAAAACGATCTGAAAACAGGTAAAAGGAAGGCTTTCATGGCAGATTAAACTCATCTTTCTGTAATTCTATCAAAGGACTCTTGACATTTGGGATATTTCTTTACGAAGTAGAATAGCAGTTTATGTTTTCCGGAACTGATGTCATGGACTGCCTTTTGGGCCTTCTTGTCCAGTGGCCCTGTTCTCTGTACCTGTGGCAGAGGTGGTCAAACAGTATCTCCCTGTGATAATGTTTAGTGTGCAGTGACAGCGCCACAAACTACCCCGACACTGTGCTGAGGTTGTAGACTTGGGTTGACTTTTACAGTAGCGCCCAAACAGTAATTATAGTAATACTAGAGGCCCGGTGCACGAATTCGTGCACGGGTGTGGTCCCTAGGCCTGGCTGGCAATCAGGGCCAATCAGGGCTAGGTGGATCTGGGCCTGCTTCCCAAGGGGAGGGATGGGGTGTGGGAGGTTGGCCACTGGCCCTGAGGAGGGAGCCGCCCTCTGCCCCCCCCCCCAAAGGGGCCACATCCACCGCCACCCACCCCCGTTCCCCGTCCCAGCCTGGGGCCAAAGGGAGTGAGACGTGGGCAACAGCAGCATGCCTGTGGCTGGGTTGGACCAAAGGAAGGCAGAGGGAAGGTGGGGTTATGAAGGCTTTGGTCTAGGTCTCTGGAACACGGGACAGTGCTGAGCCCCATGGGAAAGCGATCCTGTAGAAAGGGCTCCATTTGAAATGCTTGTTGGGATGGTCCAGGTACCCACGCACATTCCTCTGGACAGCAAGGCTGTGGGGAGGGCCTGGGGCATTTGCTGACATTCCACACTTCTGCTTCAGGCTGTTCTTAGAATATAAATCAGAGTGCCCCACGGCCAGTGTCTCCTCCTAGGCCATTTTCTAGGCTTCAGGGCAGGGTGTTTAAAGAGGCTTTGTGTAAACAGCAGGCCTACAATCAGAACATCCGTGGCCTACGTGATGAGTCAGTCACATCCCTGTGCTTTCCTCTTAGGTTCACTTCCCAGACACTGAAAGAGCAGAATGGCTAAATAAGGTAAGAGAGCAGTATCCCATACCAGCTGCAGTGGGACTGGGATGGGATGCACCCTCCATATTTGGGAGTTGGGAGAGTGACACTGTGTGAACTCCTTTGGATTTGGCTTCTGCTCCCAAAAGAGCTCAGTCATAAATGAGACGTTACTTTCCTTTTCTAAACAGTGAAAACAGTCTTAGACGTGAGAAAAGTAATAAGCTATTCATAGTCGCATCTTGGTCTTCTGTCTTCTTTCCCCATCGTCCATCCACTGCTCAGTTCTATTTTATGATAGTCGTATACAAAAATGTTGGAAACATTATTATGAAGAATGAATAACTCCCAAGAATTCTAGTAATAGATAATTATCTAATTTTTTTTATAAAGCTTCTGTTTTTAGATCAGTCTAGTTTGAAGTGGATCTCTGTCCCCTCACATTTTTTTAAAATATATTTTTATTTATTTCAGAGAGGACGGGAGAGGAAGAGAGAGATAGAAACATCAGTGATGAGAGGGAACTATTGATTGGCTGCCTCCTGCAGGTTGGACTGAGCTGCAACCCAGGCATGTGCCCCCAACCAGCATTGAACCTGAGACCCTTTGGTCCGCAGGTCAATGCTCTATCTACTGAGCCAAACCGGCTAGGGCACCCCTCACACTTTATGTAATATCCTCAGAGCTGTGCAGGCAGGGATCACCTGGTAGCACGGGAAGGTAGTCCATCACTGAGGAAAACGCATTCATGTTTATTAAAATCTCTACAGTTTTAGCAGTTTATTTAGCAATGAGTTGAAACCACAGGATTTTCTGATTTTTTAAGCAATCATTAAATGTGCTGAGAATAACTAATTCCTGCAATATATGGTTAATTAGTAGTTTATTGTTGTGATACATTTTAAAATTTAAAATTGTATTGATTTTTGCATAATAAAAAGGCCCTCCCTTTAATTTTTAGAAATTCTGATAAGCTGAAGGGGCATAATTTTTACCATGACTTAAGTGCAATATGTATTAAAATGTTTTGTCTTACATGAGTTCTTTTTCCTTTCAGACTGTAAAACATATGTGGCCTTTCATTTGCCAATTTATAGAGAAGTTGTTTCGAGAAACCATAGAGCCAGCTGTGCGGGGAGCAAACACCCACCTTAGCACCTTTAGTTTCACGAGAGTCGACGTGGGTCAGCAGGTCAGTCTCTTCTTAAGTATCCTTACATGTGTGCACAGTCAGATTGCTGTGGAAATTAAAAAGACATGTTAAACTACTCCCTGTTATTTCCCTGGATGGTCTTGGGGCGGGTTGTGCAGCTACTCCAGGTTCTGCCTCTCATGTGGTGCCCTCGCCTGGTCTGTCAGGGGTCCTCACCTGCCCTCACCTGTCCAAGGCGGCCTTTTGGCCAGTTCAGGTTCCCTGGGGGGACTTCCCTTAGTTCCAGCGTGTCTTTCTCCCCACACTCTTCTGTCAGAATTACCTTTGCACAGTTTTCAACAATCCGTTCTGTTGGAAAGGAGTTTGACATGTGAACTCACACTGAAGGTTCAGAAGTTGACAGCAGGCATGAGGTATTTACCCTCAAGTTGTTTAAAACAAGTAAAGACTCCAGTGCCAGTCTTGTAGGCATCACCTTAGTCACACAGGTGGAGGGATAGATAGGTGTTGTTACTGGAATAATGTTACAGGCATACATCACTATATTGCTCTTTGCTTTATTGCACTTTGCAGATAGTGTGAGTTTTTTTTATAAATTGAAGGTTTGTGTCAACCCTAAGTCAAGCAAGTCCATCGGCACCAATGACAGCATGTTCTTAAGCAAAAAGTATTTTTGAATTAAGGTATATACATTGTTTTGTTTTGTTAATCCTCACCTGAGGATATTTTTTCCATTGTTTTTCAGAGACAGTGGAGGGGGGGTGGTGAGAAACTTCTATATGAGAGAGACACATATAGAACTCCCGAACTCGCCCCGACAGGGGTGGGGAGTGAACCCACAACCCAGGTACGTGCTCTGGACAGGTATTCGAACCTGCGACCACATTCCTCATGTCTGTGGTTTCACGGTAACCTTGTCTGCATTTGAGGAACAGGTGAAATAACTCGCTGATAGCGAACCGATTGGTACACCACGAGGGCAGAGTTGTGATTCCCATAGCCTGTGCCAGAGCGTGTCTCCTCATCTCGGTGCCGCCTGGTTGTTTTGCCATTTGGTTGTTGTGTTGTTTGTGTTTTTACCGTCCCTGCATTGAAAATAAGCCACTTCTCGCTCCAGCCCCTCAGGATCAATGGTGTCAAGGTATACACTGAAAATGTGGACAAAAGACAAATTATTTTGGACCTTCAGATTAGGTAAGTTTTCATTTGTGTCCTAATTGTGTCCTAGTTAATGGCATACAGCGTCACGTAGCTATTCCCGTAGGTGGATATTCCTGATGTCGGTGGGTTTGACTGAAATCTTGATGAAGACCCAGATGTTGTGCTCAGGCGCTTAGACACTCTGTGCACTGCTCAGCGGGCCTCCGGCAGACACTCTCAGGCAGGGCGAGACCTCCTGCATCTGGAGCCCAGGGTTGGGGGTCAATTCATACAGATTCCACCCAAAAGGTAGCTGCCATTTCACAGTTGTTTTAAAAACAAATGCAAGCCCTGGACAGTGTGTTCAGTGGTTAGAGCATTGGCCTGCGCCGGAAGGGTCACGGGTTCGATTCCCAGTCAAGGGCATGTACCTGGGTTGCAGATTTGATCCCCAGCCCTGGTCAGGGCATGTGTGGGAGGCAACCAATCAATGTGTCTTTTTCACATCCATGTTTCTCTCTCTCTTTCTCTCTCTCCCTCCCTTCCACTCTCTTTAAAAGTCAGTGGGAAAAATAGCCTCAGGTGAGGACTAAGAAAAAACAGCAACAACAAAAAACACAGATGCAAGTCTTACATTCCACATCACACTCATTCATGTTTTTCATATTAATGACTGAAATGTCTTTTTTTTAAAGTATTTTTTTTTATTTCAGAGAGGAAGGGAGAGAAAAAGAGAGATAGATACATCAATGATGAGAGAGAAACATTGATTGGCTGCCTCCTGCATGCCCCTCACTGGGGATCCAGCCTGCAACCTGGGCATGTGCTCTGACCAGAAATCGAACCCATGACCTGGAGGTTCATAGGTCAATACTTAACCAATGAGCCACGCTGTCCAGGCTGAAATGTTTTAATCAGTGAGAAAAATGATGCCTCAAACAGATACGGTTTTATACGTTTCTAATCTTTTTATCCTCACCCGAGGATATTTTCCATTGATTTTTTAGGGAGAGTGGAAGGGAGAGGGAAAGACAGGGAGAAACATTGATGTGTTTAGAGAAACACATCAATTGGTTGCCCCCTGCACGAGCCCCAACTAGGGTCCAGGCTGGGGAGGAGCCTGCAACCAAGGTACATGCCCTTGACTGGAATCGAACCCGGGACCCTTTGGTCTGCAGGCCGACGCTCTGTCCACTGAGCCAAACCGGCTAGGGCTACCTTTCTAATCTTCACGTCAAAGTCCATGAGCTCTGTTAGTTCTCTCGGGACTGGGGAGCAGATAATCTTCACTTTATTGTTTTAAACAAACATAGGTGTTTATAAAGTAAATGAAAACTACATTCCATCAAGGTGCTGCTCTGGCCTGCACATTGGAAGGGATATTTGTAGCAAACCCTTAGTCTGCAGGAGGCCTCTCAGGAGCTGTGTGTCTGTTGCCCGGCAGGGAAGCGGCCATGCCACGGTGCAGCTGTGCCTGCAGCCTGTGCTGATCACTTTACTGTTTATTATTTTAGTCAGATTATATGCCTTGCAGGTCTGTGGTGATGAGGAGAATGTAATACAGAACTTTTTCTTTGCTAGTTTTGTAGGAAATTGTGAGATTGATTTGGAGATCAAGCGATATTTTTGTAGAGCTGGTGTGCAAAGTATACAGGTAAGGTTTTTTTATTTCAGTCTTCTAAAATTTTCCATGCTCTCTTTGAAAAGAAAGTGGCGAAGCTTTTATTAACCGAGAATTTCTTTGAAGTTAAGTATTTTTCTGCAGGTCCTACCTGGTGCAGCACTGGGCCACCTGCATCTCCATCCTGCATCAGTGACTGGCTGTTACATGTCTTGGTTTCCGTTTGCACTTAGATTCATGGCACAATGCGAGTGATCCTGGAACCGCTGATTGGAGACATGCCCTTAGTGGGAGCCTTGTCTATCTTCTTCCTGAGGAAGCCAGTAAGTTGATGTTTATTTTGTGTCTGTCTTCCTTCTCACTGACAAGCACATGACCATATTGGAGATATACACAGTGAAGGAGCAGTCCCCTCCTTAGCTCACTTCTTCCCTCTGATGCGTGAGTCCTGTAAGTTCCTACCACTTTATGCCCTAGCGGAGGTTTCGTCTCTTCCCATAGACAACTTCTTTTCCTGACTATAAAAAGAATATGTTTGTTACAAAAATTTGAAAATAATAGACTGGTTTTTTTAGTGTGGGTTTGTAATTAACATTGTCAATGAGTATGATTTGTAGGTGTTTGCTCATTGACGCCTCATTCTCTATAGTGAATACCACATAGTTTCCATTTACTGACCAGGAATTGAGTCTAATCTTTCCAAGACCCCAAACCAGTAAGTCTGGGAGCCTGCACCCAGCCCAGCCTGCCGACAGGCTGCTCTCACCGTCCTCACTGCTGCCACAGGCAGAGCTGCCGTCACGCTTGGCACTGCCTGGCCCAGAGCCTGCTTATGAACTGCAGTTAGTGCATGAGGGGTTAAGTCATAGAGTCTACTTTTTTTTTTTTAAGAATTGTTTCAGGTGTTTTGTTTTACTTTTAATATATTTTTATTGATTTAGAGAGGAAGGGAGAGGGGAAAGAGGGTTGGAAACATCAATGATGAGAGAGAAGCATTGATCGGCTGCCTCCTGCACATCCCCCATTGGGGACCGAGCCCGCAACCCAGGCATGTGCCCTTGACCAGAATTGAACCCGGGACCCTTCAGTCTGCAGGCCAATGCTCTATCCACTGAGCCAAACCAGCTTCAGGCATAAAGATTCTTTTTACTGAATTATATTCTAACACTTGGATAAACCATAATAAATGTTATCACTTCACATGGTTAGATTTGTATCTTAATCCATTTTTTTGTTATAAGTAGTTAATACCTATTATTAGCCACAAAAATAAGACAACAAAAATATCATTCCTATCTAGGCTCCTCCTCACCTCAGCTCCTCCTCCTCCTCATGGGGCTCCTCCCTTCACTGAGGCTCCTCCTCACTGAGGCTCCTCCCCTCACAGAGGCTCCTCCCCTTCACTGAGGCTCCTCCTTTCACTGAGGCTCCTCCCTGTCATGGAGGCCCCTCCCCTCCTGGAGGCTCCTCCCCTTCACTGAGACTCCTCCTTTCACTGAGGCTCTTCCTCCTTGCTGGGCTCCTCCCTTCACTGAGGCCCCCTCCCCTCCTGGAGGCTTCTCCCCTTCACTGAGGCTCCTCCTTTCACTGAGGCTCCTCCTCACAGAAGCTCCTCCCCTAATGGAGGCTCCTCCCCTTCAGTGAGCGTCCTCCCTCTCCTGGTGGCTCCTCACCTACATGGCTCCTCCACATGGGTCCACAGCCTCTGAAAGGCATTCTCCCTCTCCTGGTGGCTCCTCACCTACATGGCTCCTCCACATGGGTCCACAGCCTCTGAAAGGCATTCGACTTAGCTCTGTCCTCAGTAGGCTTTGCTCACCACTAGGGCTTCTTCCCAAGGTGCAAACTGACCACAGAGGGTAGTCTCTCGGCAGACAATTATTGTGGTCTAGGTGGGGTCTCTGTCCTCCTTTCCTGGCACTGCCCCATAAGGATCCAAGTTCCAACCACAGGAGCACTGTAATCGGGGGAGAGTACAACCCCTTCCCCCCTCACCACCTCCCTCACCTGTCCTTCTCCAGAACGCTGCCCTCTGCCCTGGGCTGTCCCTTTCCAGTACAGAGGTGGTCAGTGTCCTCCTCACACCCACACAGTCCTGTGCAGGTAGTGCACTGCTTGTGAACTGTTGGAAGACACAGCCATGTCTGTCTCCACACGGCTCAGTAAGCGTCTGATGGATGAATTGATCTGTTTCTCAAATAGCTCTTCACAAATGCCGTTCTGTTACCTTAGATGAGCTCTTTCGCAGGCATCCATTGCTATCATGTATTGTTTAAAATGGGAATCTTTATTGTATAATTTGATGCAAATAACTTAATACAAATTGTTGTTGGGTTTATCTAGACAAATTATAAGTGGTACTTTTTTTGTATAAAAACACAAGAAGAATTAAGTATCTTCACATTCTATTTCCACTAACATTATTATTCTCACTTGCCTTCTATTGCTTAAATAATGGGCTTATTTTGAATGTATTGTAATGACTATAGTCCCCCCTTATCCACAGATTTACTCTCTGTGGTTTCAATTACCTGTGGTCATCCTTGGTCTGAAAATAATTAAATGGAAAATTCCAAAAATAAAGAAGTCATAAGTTTTAAATTGCATGCCATTCTGAGCAGCGTGATAAAATCTCATGCTGGCCTGCTTCGTCCCACCTGGGACATGAGTCATCTTTTGTCCAGGTCTCCAGGCTGCATAGCTCCCCACCCGTTAGTCACCTGGTAACCGTCTCAGTGATCAGATCAGCTGTCATAGTGCCTGTATTCAAGTAATTATTGTTGTTAACCTCTTACTGTGCCTAATTTATAAATTAAACTGCATCATAGGTATGTATTTTTTTAATCATCACCTGAAGGCATTCTTAGAGGAAGGGAGAGAGAGAAAAAAAATTGATGTGAGAGAGAAACATTGATTTGTTGCCTCCTCGACTGGGAATTGAGCCCACAGTCCAGGTACGTGCCCTTACCAGAAATAGAACCTGCAACCTGTATTTACATACAGGAAAAAAACATAGTATATACAGGGTTCAAAACTGGCAACCTTTGGGCACACGGTACAATGCACCAACCAGCTGAGCCACCTGCCGAGAAAACATAGTGTATATACAGGGGTCAGTGGTAGCCATACTTTTAGGCATCCACTGGGGGTCTTGGAATGTAGTCTCCTCAGATTAGGGGGAATATACACAGAACATGGTGAAATTCAAAAGCTACTAAGAAACTTTTGTGTTAAATTTTAACTTATTAAAATTTTGAGAAATGAAATCCATAAAAGATTTTATATCCATGTTTTTTTCACATACAACTTGTATAAAAGCCAGTGTATTTAAGAAACTTTCATTAATAAGTATAAAATAAAACACCTAATCTTTAGCAAATTGCTGAGTATTTTTAATTTACAAGGAATTTTTAACAATTTAATAAAGGGCTCCCTTTTTTTTTTTAAATTTCAGAATCCACATCTTTAAATCTCCCTCAAAACTTAGTAATACTCTTCCTTAGTGTGGATATTCTAGGTGTGTTTACCTTAAAAATAACATCATAGTATTAACTTCCAAGCGAAATTCTAATGCTGAGAGAAGGAAGAGGCTGTGAAAAGTCAAGTTACATAATAAAAGCATAATATGCTGATTAGACCAGACAGCCGAACGACCTTCTGGATGTCCTTCTGGACGAAGCCACCATAGTGGGGGCTGAGGCAGAAATGGTTAGGGGCAATCAGGCAGGCAGGTGAGCAGTTAGGGGTGATCAGGCAGGCAGGCGAGTGGTTAGGGGCGATCAGGCAGGCAGGTGAGCAGTTAGGGGCGATCAGGCAGGCAGGCGAGTGGTTAGGGGCGATCAGGCAGGCAGGTGAGCAGTTAGGGGCGATCAGGCAGGCAGGCGAGTGGTTAGGGGTGATCAGTCAGGCAGACAAGTGGTTAGGGGTGATCAGGCAGGCAGGCAGAGTGGTTAGGGGTGATCAAGCAGGCAGGCGAGTGGTTAGGGGTGATCAGGCAGGCAGGCAAGTGGTTAGGGGTGATCAGGCAGCCAGCGGTCCCGGATTGGGAGAGGGATGTCTAACTGCCGGTTTAGGCCCAATCCTGAAGGGGTCCCGGATTGTGAGAGGGTGCAGGCCGTGCTGAGGGACACACACTCCCTGCATGAATTTCGTGCACAGGGCCTCTCGTTTCCTTATATGGTGAGTAAAGTCACCACACATGCTTTGGAGAGAGGGAGTGTATTTTCAGTTACTTTCAGCTGGAAAATATGGGAACAGAATTCACTGCCTGCTGCCAAGTAATTCTTCTCACCAGGGGCAGTCCAGCCGGAGAGATTTGGGTTTCTGATTATCGAGATGATTTAGACTCGCAGTGTCAGAGAACCTTACGACGCCTTTGCACATCTTCATGCTTGTTGGTTTCTTTGGACTAGTTTGGATAATGTGTTGCTTGTTCCAGAAAACTAAACAAAACCATGAGGTGCTGAGCTGTGGAGCACAGCTGTCTGATGGGGCAGCCAGCGTGGCCTTCATTCAACCTGGTTTTCCTCTCCTGGTTCTTTCTTTTCCCACTTTGTGCTTTGAACAACTGACTTCATTCCTCTAAGCCTCAGTTTCCCCATTTGTAACAAGGGGATTACAGTAATACCTGTGTCACAAGGTTACATGTGAAGATTAAATGAATGTCAATGGATGTAAAACATGTAATACAGTGCCTGGCACATACAAGTTCTTGGATTTTTAAGAAATTACACACATTCCTACATGTAGGTTTAGCATTCTGGTGGGGTCCTGACATCAGAGATCAAGTACTGGTAAGCACACGCGCTTGGGTGAAGGTTCTGGTAGGAGCCAGAACAAGCCAGTGTCTACCCCTGCGCGGATCCGTGGACCTGGTGGCCACTCTCCTGCCATCAGGACCGTTGTTGGCATGGCCCCGGCACGCTCGTAGGGTGTTAGAATCCTCAGGTCTGTGGCCCGTCTCAGGAGGACTGATCAGACTAGAGTGAGTCCAGAACGTGTCCAGGAGACGGTGCGTGTGCTCTGAGTGTGTTGACCCTCGGGGGCTCCCAGCCAGCAGAGGGTGGGCCTCCCATGTTTGAACCAGAGGTTCCTTTCTTCATCTGCAAGATGAAAGTGACATCATTCTTTCAGAGTGAGTGGGAGAAGAAGTTGAGTCCCATTAGCTGGGACTCCAGCAGTTGAGGTGCCTTAAGCAAAAGAGGGGCTTTATTTCACAAGGTAGCCTGTATTGGGTCTCAGGAAGCCGCTGCAGGGGCTGCAGGTGAGGGAGCCGTAGGACATCTCCCCACCCATATTCCACCTTCGCTCTGTTCTCTCCCGCTGAGGCCAGCGGCCTCTGGTCTCCAGTCCACATGCCAGTCATGGCTGCCAGCGCTCCCAAGAGGCAGTGAGTCTTCCCACCTCTTTCCCTCCGTCCTTCTCTGCTGAGCAGGTCAGACACGGGCCCTAGACCGATGGGAGTGGGAAGGTTGCAGTTGGAAGCCAACCCTACAACCCTGGGGAGGAGGCAGCAGTGAGGTGGAGGGCAGGCCAGGCAGACAGGCCCATGGGAATCCCCAGGCCAAGAGGGTCCTACCCACCCCTCACACTAGGTCCTGGGAGCATTGGCACTGTGGGTCTGCCAGGTGTCTGAGCTTCTGGGTCTGTGGTGCTGACAGCTCTCATGATGTGGACAGTGTGGGTCTGCCAGGTGTCTGAGCTTCTGGGTCTGTGGTGCTGACAGCTCTCATGATGTGGACAGTGTGGGTCTGCCAGGTGTCTGAGCTTCTGGGTTTGTGGTGCTGACAGCTCACACGATGTGAACAGTCTGGCCCCATCCAGTGGTGGGGATGGGAGCTCCGCGTTGTCCTGCCTGTGTTGGCTCTCAGGCTGGTGTCTCTCAGCGACTCTGCCCTCCTCATGCTGTGTCTGTGGTGGGGCATGTGCAGGTGGGTTTGCACATGTTGGTCCAGCAACACGGGACCTCTGGCGGGCAGGGCCTGCGATGGTGTCCTAGCCTCCCCCAGGCACACATATGTCTTCTCTTTCCCTGTCCCCCAGCTGCAGGGGGCCTTACCTGTGTGTCCCTCCCCTGTGGCTTCTGCGTCTTACAGTGGAAAGTGGGTGCTGTCTTTCCAGCAGCGGCTGCTCCCGCCCCGCTTTACCCCTGCAGCGAGTGTCGCCCGGGCCCCCGGCTCTGCAGCCAGCACACTCTGTCGCTCCGCATGCTGGCACATGCCCTCTGTCTGGATCTCAGAGGGTTACACTATCTTACCCACACTTTGCCTTTAGCAGTTAAGATCTAACTGGAATAGTCCACCTGCCGGTGGGGCTGTGGGGCCCGGTCTTCCCCTCAAGCTGCCTGTGAGGAAGGGTTTCAGGCTGGCTGGCACTGCCACCTCAGCTCCTGTACATTGAAGAGTGATGCTCTTTCTGGTTTTCTGTATCCCAGGTGGAAGCTGCAAGTCCTGGGAGCTTTAAAACATAAGGAAAATATTCTTGACCTTTACCACTAGCCAAAACCCACTAATTCAGAAACACTGGAGCAGGGCAGGAGCCACAGTCTGTATTTTTAAGGGACTTCCCAGGTGATTCATAGTCTGTACCGCAGAAATAATTCACGTCGGCCGCCTGGTGTACAGTAAGTGCTGAAATAAACAGTTGCTATTGTCGAACTGCGTCCATAGGTTCAGGAGATGGGAGAGCAGAGGGGCGGCGTGTCTGTTCATGAAGCTCGCACACGGTCGTCCTGTTGCAGGTGAAGCGTGGCCGCTCACTGCTTGTTCTGTGTCTCGAGGAAGGCCCGCAGCAGCCCTTGGCGGTTTCCTCCCTTGGAAACACGACTCCCTGGCTCTTCAGTTTCCCGAAACAGCTCTGAGTCATCCAGGCACAGGGGGGCGAGGCACTAATTTTAGTTGCTTGTCCCTCCTTGTGGGTTCCTCCTGTGTCCCTGTGTGGACTCTCCAGCCTCAGCTCTCAGACCTCTCACACTGGATCCCACACGCACTCACACTCATTCTCGCTCCCTCACACTTGTCCTTACACACTCACTCGTCCTCACTCACTGCTCCCTGCTTTATCCTCTCTGGGCCCTCCTGTCCCCAGCTCCCCCTTGCTCAGGGGCATGTCAGCTCCCTCTTCAGGGCCTTGGACAGGGGCCTTCTGTCCGCACGCAAATCTCTCTTCTCAAACCCGCTGAGTCCTGTTCCTCCACGAATCCTGCACTGCCTCTCTGGCGCTTTGTTTTTCTGAACTCGGGTAGCATTTGCACAGGCGCATCTCATCATTTTGACAAGGTTCATGGGGTTCGGCCCTGTGTGGCCTGAGGAGTTAATCTCTCGGTACAGTCCTGCCAGGTGACCTGCCCTTGACAGGGCCTCTCGTTAGCCGTCAGCTGTTAGCCGAGGAGGGTTTCCTTAGCTTCCTGGTTCTACGTGGTGCCCTGGGCCTGGAATGGCTGTTCCTCAAATCCCTGGTCCTCTTAGTGGGAAAGGTCTGTGGTGATGATGAGGGTGGGGGCAGGGTGCTTACTCTTGCGTTGTTTTGCTTCTGGGCCTCCAGGTGGGGACGAGGGGAGCATGATCTTTACTGCTATTAGCCTTGCAAGTTTACATCTTGTTTCTCTTCTGCTGAAAAATCTCAGTCTTTCAGGACTTTTAAAACTAGTTGCTTTTTAGTTTGGTCTTTTTAAGAGAACCTGGACTCCTCTAGTTCATGCTTATTTAAAACCACTTCCCAAAGGGATTGGAGCCAGAATGCGATACTCCAGCTATATGGGTAATGAGATCATGCAATTTCACTCAGCTTTCCCCCACAAATATAAAACACAAGTAAGTGCAGTATCCATTTTGATAGGAAAAGCTGTGTTTCTAATCAATAGTTTTTACCCATCCCCATCCACCTAATGGAATCATAGCCAACTGTGTAGGAATTATTGTAAGATAAATATCCACTAGAAAAATGAGCAAAAACCCCCCAAATGTTGAATGAATGGAACATGCTCCACTAATATCAGGAAAATGCAATTTGAAACAGTGATAAAGTACCATTTTTTAACGGCCACATGGATTGATTCTTTTTTAAAAAATATATTTTATTGATTTTTTTACAGAGAGGAAGGGAGAGGGATAGAGAGTTAGAAACATCGATGAGAGAGAAACATCGATCAGCTGCCTCCTGCACACCCCCTACCCGCAACCAAGGTAGATGCCCTTGACCAGAATTGATCCTGGGACCCTTCAGTCCACAGGCTGACACTCTATCCACTGAGCCAAACTGGTTAGGGCTGGATTGATTTTTAATATCTCTTTTTGTTGAGGTTATGAAGAAGAAACATTTTCATACACTTCTGGTGGGAATATAAGTAGGGATAGCCTTTCTTTATGGTAATTAGGTGGCACTATCAAATAACAAAGTGAATATGTATCTTTGACCAGGACATCTACTTTTTTAAAAAATATATTTTATTGATTTTTTACAGAAAGGAAGGGAGAGGGATAGAGAGTTAGAAACATCGATGAGAGAAACATCGATCAGCTGCCTCGTGCACACCCCCTACTGGGGATGTGCCCGCAACCAGGGTACATGCCCTTGACGGGAATCGAACCTGGGACCCTTGAGTCCACAGGCCAACGCTCTATCCACTGAGCCAAACCGGTTAGGGCTGGATGTCTACTTTTTAAATGCCAGTTTGCATGCACAAAGCAGAACATGATGTAAAAAAATATTCACTGAATATCGTAAGTGCCCATCCATAGGAGGGTAGATGTATAAATTATTATATGATTTTACTGGAGAAAACTGACATCAAAAAGTAAAACAACAGGCAGCTCTCCATGTACCCACAGGGCACAATGGCCTTGATGGTTTACAAAGTGAAAAGCAAGGCGCAGAACAGTGTAAAGAAACAAATCTCTGCCCTCGCTGGTTTGGCTCAGTGGATAGAACGTTGGCCTGGGGACTGAAGGTCCTGGGTTCGATTCCAGTCAAGGGCACATGCCTGAGTTGTGGGCTCGATCCCCAATGGGGGCGTGCAGGAGGCAGCCGATTATGATTCTCATCATTGATGTTTCAATCTCTCTCTCCCTCTCCCTTCGCTGAAATCAATAAAAATATATTTTTTAAAAAGAAAGAAATCTCTGTGATTTGGTTTGATTTGATAATTGGAAATAACTTGGATAACATTTTTTGCCCTGCTTTTAAACAGCTTTTAGAAATCAACTGGACAGGACTGACTAACCTTCTGGATATCCCGGGACTGAAGTAAGTATGATGCCATGTGCTGTGTCAGCTTGCTGATGGCGAGACATGCCTCTGGGCTCAAATGCGCTGATGCAGAGGGTCGTAGGACTTCAGACTACATCACTCACCCTTCCGTTCACCTTTTGTTCATCACAAAGCTGCCTTTCAGTATAAGTGTTTCAGAGTAGTGGCAGCCTTCTAATATCCCACAAATTAATGTTTAAATTTGGTTTTTCTTTTCCCAGAAAAATAAAGACAACTTAAAAAGCGAATGAATGTTTCAAAACTAGCCCTTTCTGAGTTCTTTCAAGCTGTGGCCACGCCTCCTTGGGGTTGGATGTCAGTCCTGGGCCTGGGGGCCAAGGGGGAGGGAAAGCCTACGTTCCTGCATCATCCCTGGGAGTCCCTCCACTCACTGGTAGCCATGCAGTGTCTCAGCGAGAGACTTGCCACGTGAGCACGGAGTCCGTCAGCCTCGCGTCCCTCCTGGGAGAGGTTCTGCTTGGGTCACAGTCCATCCGTCTTACCTGGTGGGAGGTGACTGGCCATAGGACGTGGCCAGTGTGCAGCCCGACCTCAGCTGGGAACTGTGGTACCTACTGTGATCTCAGCCAGCCATCCTGTCTGTACTGACAGATCTCTGCCAAGCTGGATGGGCTGCAATTAGAGCCTCCAAACCTGCTTCTGCTGGCTTTACTAAGGGGGCACCATCAGGAGGTTAAAAGTGCCTTTCTGACATGTTAGAGTGGCCCCATGGTCCTCAGGTGAGCGCTCTCATCACTGCCCTGGACACCCACCTGCCATGAGTGCTGCACTATTGCCCACTGAGTGGTGGTGGTGTTTCTGCTGCCCAGTGGGTGCTCTTATAGGTACAGTTACTTTACGTCTGAGAAGTGGGATTCTCTTAGCACCTAGCAGGCCCAGAGGTGGCTTCTGTCACAGGGACACTCACTTGTGTAGGTTGCAGAGGCATGCACATGCACGTTACCCGATTCTCACATTTACCCCAAAGAGTAGGCAAGAAACATACTAAAAGTGTGTTTGTTTCTTTAGCCTCCACAATTTTATTCAAATCCCTGAGTTCTCTGTGCAGTGTATATAGTATTTCAAAATTATTACAGTATTGAACCTCCAAATGCAGTGTGGAAAACCTGTAAATTTCTTTACTGCCCTGGGAACTGTGCATCTACTTATATAAAAACCCTGGGTGTAACATCACTGCCAGAAGCGCGACCAACTGGAAGGAAGTCAATCCTGCAGGGGTCGTCTTGGAAATGGCTGCGCCCTCCCCCAGCTGTTTCCTGGAGGGCGAGGTTTTAGGCAGGAACCCGCCCTCGGAGCGGAGTGTGGAAGTGAAATGATTTTTAATGGATCTATTATTGAAGCTACCTTTGGAAATACTATAGCTATAGATAAGTGGTTCTCAACCTTGGCTGCACACCACATTAAGAGTGAAAACACTCTTTGAAATTCTGTTTCTTTTTTTTTTTTTAATATATTTTATTGATTTTTTACAGAGAGGAAGGGAGAGGGATAGAGAGTTAGAAACATCGATGGGAGAGAAACATCGATCAGCTGCCTCCTGCACACTGGGGATGTGCCCGCAACCAAGATACATGCCCTTGGCCGGAATCGAACCTGGGACCTTTCAGTCCGCAGGCTGACGCTCTATCCACTGAGCCAAACCGGTTAGGGCCGGAAATTCTGTTTCTTTGTTACTAATGTTGTGGTCCCAACCCATAACAAAGAAACAATTTCCGGAGGATGAGACCCAGGAATCAGGATTTTAAAAAGATTCCCAGGTGATTCTAATGTGCAGCCAAGGTTGAGAACCACTGCTATAGATAATATTAAAAATATATCTAAATGTGCAATTCTTTGTCCCAAAAATGAGCATGTTCAAAAATTAAATGAAGAAAGTTTGGATATACTCGATGGAGATTTTCACACATATTTGAGTGATGATTCCATTGATTCCACAGATGATGCTGAAAAGGAAAATTTTCCCATCGAATTTCTTAATAGTATTACTCCTTTGGGAATGCTGTGGCATAAATTAAAATTGAAAGTGGGTGCAATCATCATGCTATTGAAAAATCTCAATAGTAAATGGGGTCTTTGTAATGGTACCAGATTTATTATCAAAAGATTACGACCTAACATTATCGAAGCTGAAGTATTAACAGGATCTGCAGAGGGAGAGGTTGTTCTGATTCCAAGAATTAATTTGTCCCTATCTGACACTGGCCTCCCATTTAAATTGATTCAACGACGGTTTCCCATAATGCCAGCATTTGTGATGACTATTAATAAATCACAAGGACAAACTCTAGACCAGGGGTGGGCAAACTTTTTGACTCGAGGGCCACAATGGGTTCTTAAACTGGACCGGAGGGCCGGAACAAAAGCATGGATGGAGTGTTTGTGTGAACTAATATAAATTCAAAGTAAACATCATTACATAAAAGGGTATGGTCTTTTTTTTTTTTTTTTTTAGTTTTATTCATTTCAAACGGGCCGGATCCGGCCCGCGGGCCATAGTTTGCCCACAGCTGCTCTAGACAAAGTAGGCATATTCCTACCTGAACCCATTTTCGCACATGGTCAGTTATATGTTGCTTTCTCTTGAGTTTGAAGAGCATGTGATGTTACAGTTAAAGTTCTAAATACTTCATCACAAGGGAAATTAGTCAAGCACTCTAAAAGTGTTTTCACTCTTAATGTGGTGTGCAGGGAGATATTAGAATAAGTTTAATCACTTTATCAGTCATTGTTTGCATCACTGTTGTTTTTATATCATGTTTTTGTCGTTTTTATATCATGCTTCTTGTTCTTATATCCTTTTGTTACTGTTTATTAATAAATTTATATATTATTTTCATATACATTTTACTAATTTCCTTTGATCTCTCACACTTCTATTATAGAGAAAGGGCAAATAGCAATATTAAAATATCTCCGCTGCCGAAACCGGTTTGGCTCAGTAGATAGAGCGTCGGCCTGCGGACTGAAAGGTCCCAGGTTCGATTCTGGTCAAGGGCATGTACCTTGGTTGCGGGCACATCCCCAGTGGGGGGTGTGCAGGAGGCAGCTCATCGATGTTTCTCTCCCATCGATGTTTCTAACTCTCTATCCCTTTCCCTTC